CTGTTAAAGAGTTACAAGTGTAGGAAGTATGTATGGTGTAAACCTCTCTGTTAAAGAGTTACACGTGTAGTATGTATAGTGTAAACCTCCCTGTTAAAGAGTTACACGTGTAGTATGTATAGTGTAAACCTCTCTGTTAAAGACTTACAAGTGTAGGAAGTATGTATGGTGTAAACCTCCCTGTTAAAGAGTTACACATGTAGGAAGTATGTATAGTGTAAACCTCTCTGTTAAAGAGTTACACATGTAGGTAGTATGTATAGTGTAAACCTCCCTGTTAAAGAGTTACACGTGTAGGGAGTTTTAAAGTGTTTTTTCAAAGTTAGATTTACATTTGTTATGAGGATGAAATTATTGTACATCGAGTTTCAATGTACAAGTTCAGCACAAAAATCATCTTGTAAGTTTTAAAAGCAACATAAATTACGAATTGTTCATAAAAGCTGACCTAAGGGATAGTATACATGCCAATATGGCCCAACTTACTCTCCTGCTAGCTGTTTCAACATCACGTAACCGACAGTTACCACACAAGTCTTATCAGGAAGTCGAGTATTGATTTAACAATAAAGACGTTTGGCACGGGCAAGCATACTGCCAAGGTTTGTGGGGTTACTCTCACGACTGAGTACAGTGGTTGTCCGGAGCTGTTAAAGGAGAGAGCAATACCCTGGGGTCAAATATCTGGTTAACATAATAATGGGTTATGATGGGGAAAATGGCACCTGGGGTCAATGCCAGGGTTACTTAGGGTTGTGAAGGAGACAATGGTACTCAATGGAAACTCCTGTGGTTACCTAAGGCTGTGAGGAAGAGATTGGTCCTCTGGGGTTGATACCATGGTAACCGAAAGGTGGTGAAGGGGAAATGCTATACTGAGGTCAAACCCATAAGTACCTAGGGTGATGTGGAAGAAAAAAGGTTACTGAGGTCAAACCCATGGTTACCTATAGGGGTGATGTGGAAGAAAAAAGGTTACTGGGGTCAAACCAATGATTACCTAGGGGTGATGTGGAAGAAAAAAGGTTACTGGGGTCAAACCCATGAGTACCTAAGGGTGATGTGGAAGAAAAAAGGTTACTGGGGTCAAACCCATGAGTACCTAGGGGTGATGTGGAAGAAAAAAAGTTACTGGGGTCAAACCCATGGTAACTGAGGGGTGATGTGGAAGAAAAAAGGTTACTGGGGTCAAACCCATAATTACCTAGGGGTGATGTGGAAGAAAAAGGCTACTGGGATCAAACCCATGGTTACCTATAGGGGTGATGTGGAAGAAAAAAGGTTACTGGGGTCAAACCAATGA